GTTGCCTTTATAAAAATCTTCATCTTCCAGAGTTAAAAGGAGGATGTATCAGAAGATTTAAATTCTAATATAAATTTAGTTTTAAACATAGCCTGTAAGTGCTGCAATTTTACACTTCTCAAATTTCAGAAAGAATTAAAGAGTTGAAGGTGCCACCATCCTGCCCTAGGAGTTTGGTGGCAGACACCACTGTCTACACAACATTCCAAAAATACAAACAGAATACCCTGTAAGTTAATAAAAAAATGCTTTGCATTTGCCCCAAGAAAGTCAAAACAGAGTAGAATATCCCATTAACAAAGAATCTAGTCTAGAACTCAAGAAATGCTTTCTGAGGCAATAAGTAAGTGAATGAAATAAAATTAAATACCATCTTACTAAAACCTCCCTCCAGTTATTTAAAACTGACAAGCAGTTGTCAAGATATCAAAGAAACAAAACATTAGGAGCCAATGCCTGAATCAACAGTGAGCACTGCCAACAAGGGCATCTCATCAGCCAAGGGCACTGAAAATTACAATCCAGGAGTTACAGAATGCTAGACTTGCGTATCTCGAGTAGGGGCAAATAGGAAAGACTCAAAGATGGATCCACTTTCAAAACGAGAAACACCCCCACACTACCTTACCCGATTTACATCTGGCAGCCTAAAAAACTTTCTGTCCCCCATGCCCTCACCAACACCCCATCTTTTTGGTCCACAGAGACCGATCTAGACAGTAAAACTGCACCACCAACAATTTGCCTCCAGATAAGCTCGTGAGTAGGGACGAGCCTCTCCTGAGGAAGTAGCGAAGCCCCAAAGTAGCATCAGGTCATCTGCCCAGAGGGCCTGTGCTTGACTTCTACAGAGACCTGCCTATCTAATGATGATGCAAGTACTTTCTGCCTTGCTGAAGCACGTAACACCACACCACACCTCATATTCTTTTAATTATTTATTTATTTGACAGAGAGAGAGAGAGCGAGTCTGCCAGAGTGTGCAGAGGTACGGAGAAGGAAAGAAAAACTTTAGCAGACTAGTCACGGACCACAGAGCCCTATGTGGGGCTTGATGTCAAGACTCCTAACTAAGATCTTGACCTGAGCTGAAACCAAGAGTCACATACTTAACCGACTGTGCCACCCTGGGGCCCCACCATACTTTATATTTTAAGGCAAAAAAAGGTGTGTGTGTGGTGTATACACAGACACATACATATATGTAAGTGTATAGTATACATATACTATTTATGTATAAATAGTATATATATATATACCTATATTATATACATGTGTGTGTATGTCTGTATATGTGTAGATATATCTATCTCCCTATACTCAAAGTAAACTAAAGAATAAAATACAGCTTCTCCTCAAGCACTTGGGCATATTCCCAACAGCCACAGGATGAGAAATAAGGTTTGCTTGAAAATGTCTTTTACCAAAAAACTCCCATTTAATGGATTAACCTCATTAATGTGAAAAAATGGCAATTATGACTTCTAAAATGGAAACACAGGTAAGGTGCAAAGCTCCCTGGACCTGAAAATATTCTTTCCCCCCATCCTCAGCTGTAATTACTGGAAGCTCAAATAATAGGCTTACTTGGATAATATACAATGACTAAAGCCTTATGCCTCTATCATTCAGTATTGAAAGTTCCTCTAAAAGACTGCACTTTTCCCCTTGATCTTAAGAAAAACCCCAAATCAAGCAGACTGTCATGTCCACGTCAGCAATGCTAGCCAGCTATCAGCTACATCTAAGGAAAAACTTGCCCAAAACATGGAGCTGGGACGACTTATGTACAGTACAATTTTTGAGAGGTCACAAATCAACTATTCGATCAGAATAAGGAGAAAATGAACACAGCAATGTAAAGCTTTAAGCTTTATTTACTCACCAAAAAGGGAAAAATAAATTATTTTTCAAACTGTCCACATGCAATTTGGAGGTCTCTAAAAATGTGCAAAGTAATGTAACAGGAACAGCTATTCTGGAATATAAGGGACTACGGAGTTTGTTTAAGTCTTTACCAAACACTTTTCAATACACTGACTCATTAATTCCTTGGACAACCGTTTGGCAGGGGGAAAAAAAAAAAGGCATGGATGATACGTTTCCTCTTTATAATAAAATCAGGAAATCCAAACTGAGAGAGGTTCAGAAGTGGATCAAAAATACAGTTAAAAAGTAAAGTCAGTCCATGGCAGAGCAGATTCTGATTTCAAACTGATGCTCAGAGACAGCCCTCATCAGACATTTAAGATTTCTAATCTTTGCCCATTATCTGCCCATCTCTCAACATCTTTTGTCTTTTAAGATTTTAGTAAGTCTCTCACTTGTATTAAATGCCTTGACGTTAGATTAGACAAATGGAACCAGGTATCGTGAGTTAAATGGTGGTTCCCATATTGGTCACACTCATGAGAACACTGTAATCCTATTTATAACGTGGTGTTTATCCTGGTTGCTTGAAAATAACTATGCTCCCAAGGGTCAGGAATGGGTATGAAAAGGGTGTTTCAGCTATCTCAACAGTGTCATTAACTAATGACTCACCTGTAATTGAATTGACAAGTTTGAAAAAGCTGGAGGCCATGCAATTCACCTAAACACTAAAATAATATAGATCAATTTAAAGCTGATTTACAAGTCTAGGTTTTTCAGGATCAAATAATGCTCTAGCACCAGGATCATGAACTGTCATTAATCCTGGGAAGTACAGTAACTATGAAAGGCACACAGATTCAGATATATTTATACTGAACCTGGAAGTTACTTCTTTAAAAATCCTAATAAAAAGATAACTTTAGGAGCGCCTGGGTGGCTCAGTGGGTTAAAGCCTCTGCCTTCGGCTCAGGTCATGATTCCAGGGTCCTAGGATCGAGCCCCACATGGGGCTCTCTGCTTAGCAGGGAGCCTGCTTCCTCCTCTCTCTCTCTCTGCTTCTCTGCCTACTTGTGATCTCTGTCTGTCAAAATAAATAAATAAAATCTTTAAAAAAAAAAAAGATAACTTTATCATTTGTCTTTTCCTGAAAGTAGCATGCCCTCCCTCCTCCAAAAAGTATTCAGTTACTGGACATTTATAGATAGAATCCAGATAAATGCTTACTTCAACAGGAGCTGAAATTTTTACTATTTCATACAAAATCATGAAAGTTGTTGCAATTCCTCCTATCAGATGAATTCTAAAGCGCAACAAAGATAAATTCAACTTGCTAATCAGAAAACTACTTGACCGTTTGCCACCAAGAGTACTTCTGGTTGCTTGTTTTCCTCTTAGATATATTCTTCCCCATTCACAGATGAAATATAGTGTTTTATAGTTGAATTTATTCTTTGGTAGTAAAGCAACGATTTTAATTCTTTGGATTAATTCTGCAACTACATAAGGAAAAGTTAATGATGGTTTCACCTTTTTATTTACCTGACATGACATCGTATGAAAAGAATCACCCAGTGAATAGGTAAACATGGTTATGTTATCAGGTCATTTTTTTTTAACCCCCATCAGTGATTTTTCATAGTGCCTCCTATTTACACTCTTTCATTATACTAAAATAACCAACAAGCCCTGCCTTTTCAGCTGTTCCTACAAACGATTAGTTTAACCAAACAAAAAAAAGGTCATTTAAATTTTTGTCCATCAGTTTAAACTATGTTATGTAAGCATTTAAAAAAAAAAGGTGCTTATTTTACCCACTCCAGGTTTAAAAGCAAAACTGAGGTATAGCTGACTCAGCATTTAAATTCCGCTGGAAGGCTGGATCTAAGCATCTTCTGGTGGTAAGAAAGAACACTGAACTAGATCTAAAAAGCAGTATGATCCTGTTAAACACAAACATATTTGAGAGTCAGAAAGTTCTACACTGTGACTTCCAATACGGTAACCAGTAGCCACAAGTCGCAGTTTAAAATAATTAAAAGGAAATACAATTTTTTTTTAAAGTAAATAAAATGTAAAATGGAGTTCCTCAGTTGCACTAGGCACATTTCAAAGGTACAACAGCTAACATGCCTTGTGGCTGCCATATTGGAAAACACAGCTACAGAGCCGTTTTCACCACCAAAGAAAACCCTACTGGTAGCAAAATGATCTCACAGATGTTAAATTCTTGTGAACCTCAACACCATTGTCTGTAAAATGTCCATAACATCACATAAATTTAAAAGACTGTTATTACAATTTTAATGAGACAATATATAAAAAAAAGCACAGTACATACAGCTTAGTACACATCAGATATTCAAGAAAGAGGAGTTATTAATACAATCCTATATTGGACTTTGGTCAACGATGGAAACCCTGGACCAGTCACTTCCCCCCCCTGAGCCTCATTTTCCTAAACTGAAAAGTTTAAGAAGTTCTTCTGGCTACCATCTAAGGACACTATCAAATCCTACCATGTTAAATGAAGTGTTAAGCAAACGGGGCACAATCTCTTCCTGAATAAATTACTACCTAGGCTCCTACAGTCTCCTAACCAATCCCAAGCATTCTTCCAAAAATCCCAGAAGACTGGCTCTCCAACAGTCTACAGTCTGATGTGGGCTATTTATAAAGTCTGTCTTAAAAGGTTACTGGAATATCCTTCTGAAACTGTATATACTGTAACTAGAAATTACAACCCCTATTCCACGATGATATCTTGCACTTTTCACATCTCTTTTAAAATGAACACTATCTTTACAGATAAGTTTTTCTTTCTGAGTATTTAAACCAGAACACTTTAAAAGCACATGAGTTTGAGAACTTTTTAATGATTTTTTTTTTAACCAACTATACCTCATTCTTACCCAGTCTGTGGGTGACCTTCAAGTGTCTAAACAAAGTGAGAATTACACCTTCATGGGTGAGGTCCCCTTGCAGCGCCAGAAACATGCCCAAAAGACTACTCTAGTTAACAGCTGCTCCCCGGGGAACCAGGAAATTGACTGAACGCTAGGTCCACAAAGCCTGCCTCCAATGAGTGGGAACCAAGAGCCCCCACACACGGCACAAAAGCCACTGACTGCCTTGGGGTATAGGCCTCTTCTCCCGCCTGTCCAGGACCCGAGTCACAGCTTCAAGTTGCAGAGTGGAAGAGCAACTCAGACAGTAGCAATCAGAACAGAGCGGTGCATTTTTGCCCAAGGCCTGTAGCCTCAAAAAAAAAAAAAAAAAGTGTTATTCCAGAGCAGATTCCTTTTCTTCCGGGTCTGTCTGCTCCCTCTGACTCTTTGCCCACAACGGCGGTGCCTCCCCTTTCCCAATGCCCCACCTCTCTCTCCACTCTTCCAAAAAAAAAAAAAAGTGGCTTACTCCTCTCCCTTAGTTTTCCCTAGCAGGGCCTGGAAACTGGAGGAAATTCAAATCAAATTAGCCAAACATTAAAAAATAAACGGACAAGCAAATCAAAGGGTGCCCACCCAACAAAAGATCTCTCCCGTTCCAAAATATGATTAAGCCTGGGTGTGAGAAGGGGAGGGAGACTAGAAACCGACAGGGATGCAGAGATAAACGTGTGGGTTTGGGGCCTCAGCGTCGGCCCATCGCGGCCAAATTCCAATTTTTTTTTTCAAGGAAATGCTCGGCTGAAGAGAAAATAAAAAGTTGTAACTTTTAAGGAAGTCGGCAAACGGCAATGTCTGGTTAACATGCCACTGCTTCCCTCCGTCTGGGATGGCAGGGTGGGAGTTGGGATTCGAAAAGCTCAACTCCAAATCGCGCACTCCTGGAAGCCTCCCCGCCAACGGCGCCGCCAGGCGGCCCAGCCCCGTCTCCTGGGACACCGGGCCCTGGGGCTTGGGCTCCCAGGGGACGCCCGGACCCGGACCTCTGGGAAAGTTCGCGGGCACAGCCGGAGGCCCCACTTTCCTCCCAGGATGACAGGCCCTTCCCACGCCAGCCGGCCCCCGCCCCGCCGCGGGCACCAGACGGTCCGCGCGGCCCCTCCCGGCCGCCTCCGGACGCGGATTCCGCCGCCCGCCCCACCCCCGGCCGGGGCGCCCCTCGGGGTGACCGACTGACCGGAGCTCGCTGGCCCACACACCGGGTCGCCCGCTCCTTCCCGCCGCGCCCCGCTCCCCCGCCCGATCTTCCAGCCGCTGGTCTCGCCGAGTCCTGCCGGTGCCGCGGGTTACCGCCCCCAGCCCGGGGGGAGCCCGGGGGGCAGGACGGAGAGGGAGGACGTGGCGCGCACGGAGGTGGCCAGCGGCGGGGCGGGGAGTGTCCTGGAGAGGCCCGGCCGGGGGCAGGGGGCCGGCACGGCTCCCGGGGCTGTGGGCCCGGACCCTCCCCGCGAGCATCCCGGGGTCCGAGGTCCCGGCCCGCCCCCGCCCGGCGCGGAGAGGCGGCCCCAACTTCCAGCCCCACTTCGCACGCCCGCCCTCCTCCCTCCACCATATGGAAATCTACAGCCTCTGAAAGTGACACGTCGAAGATTCCTCGGCCTCTCCGCCCGCCCTCCCCCTCCCGGGCAGCGTTCTTGCCGCGGAGATTCCGGGAGGGGGAGCGGATTCCTCGGACAGAATCTGCTGGGAAGGATGGGGAGGGCGAGGGGGGAGGGAGAGCCCGGGAGCCACTGCCCAGATTTTTTTTCATCAAGAAGAATCTACCCGCTTCTTTCCCTCCTCCAAGCCCAGGCAAGCGGGGGGGGGGGGGGGGGGGACAGGCGGGGGGCCGGAGCCCAGCAAGATGCGGCCCCAAAGTGGAGGCCAACCCCCTCCCGGGCCCCGTGTTCCTGGGGTGCCCAGGCGAACGCAGGGTGCCCCAGCAGTGCGGCGCCAAGTTTTCCCCGGGAAGCCCGGCGCGCCAGGAGCGCTCCGGGACGAGATCGCACTCCCGCGGACTCGGCGTCCGGCGGGGTCTTTCCAGCGCGCGGGACCTAGTGGCCGAGGCTTGGGGTCCCGGTCCCCTCCAGTCTCCCGATCCTGCACGCCTTACCTTCCCTCGGGCTGAAACGCGGGGCTCCGGGCGCGCCACACACCGGGTTGCCCACGCCTTCCCAGCCGGCAGCCCCGAGTATCCCCGCTGTCCCCTCCGCTGCTCCCGCTGCCGCTGCCGCCGCCGCCGCCGCCGCCGCTCTCCTCCTCCTCCGGCCGCCGCCGCCGCTCAAATAACTACCAGGAGGGTTTGATGGGGGATTCCGCCATGTCAATGATGTCGGGACCACATGGGGATTTGGGGCCCGCCCACTGCCGTAAACTACAGAGTAAAACCGCCGCCAAAAAAAAGTCTCAACTTCCCGGGACTGGGAGCCTCCTTTGCTCCCAGGCCTGCACAGCTGAGGAGAATCTCTCTTTGATTCAGCCAGACTAAAGAAGTCTGAGGCTTAGGGGAACTAGCAGCTCCTAAAAGACGAGGGCTGCATGTTCTGCAAAAGATCGCCAAACACCAATATAAATGCAGTGTTTGCTGAGTAATAGAACTAAGACTGACGTTTTTTCATTTACACATCTTTTTTAAATCCCCACAACCTTGTGAGCTATTTTGTCATTCGCTTTGTCTATTTCCCACAGCACTCGTTCATACAACTAACGTAGCGTGAGCAGATTTTATGACACCAAAGTCAAAATGTCTATTTCCCCCTTTCGGTACCCAGTATGAACTCACAAGGCAGAAACTGGTCGGTACTCGTATCTTTATTTCTGTACTGTCAAACATAGCATCGTGCATAATGTGATTCACTAGATAACTGTTAAGCTTAAAGTGGTTAAATGTAATGGATTCCTGTTGTAGAGGCTCAAAATGGTTAACAGGCTGCATCCCATCCCACCCCTCAAATCATCCAGGGGGCAAGAAGGCAGTTCTCCCACAGAGGCCCCTTCTCTCCTTAGCTTCCCAGGTATCCTAAATAATTCCAATCTGCATTCAACTGTTGGTCACAAAGCAGTACTCAGTAGTGACAGGAGGCAATGCATTACTTTCATTGACTTAAAAAAGAAGAATCATCTATCAGATAAAGTTATTGTACATAGTACTGTATTAAAACCAGAAAAACATACAAGAATACTGAGATGAAAAATGTTTAAGAGCTGTTATAGCACTCAGATATTAGCTCAGACATGTAGAGAGATGGAACTAGCGTCACAATTGCCTGTTGAAGAAGGGAAGGGGTGTGGGACAAGGAGAAGGGAGAAGAAAGAAAGAAGATGTGTCCAGATTTCATGTTAATGAGTTTTCTTCAACCTGGCAGAGAACTGAAATTTCAGGGCAAACAACCACCCTGAGTCTTCTCAGTTTCTCTTGTCTACTTTTAAGCACCTTTGCCACACCTGTCCTTCCACACTTGAATCTAAACTTGTGTCCTCTGAAGTTTGCCAGTTTCTCTACTCATTCGGATTCTTCCACGTAGTTTACAAGTAATTCATTCAACAAACATATATATAATGGTTACTTTATTCAGAGCACAATGCTAGGTGGATGCTGGGGATACAAAAATGAAACAAGACCCAATCAAGTGGAGGATGTAAACAGTAGTTTCAGAGAAATGTGAGAAGAACTGAAAAGAATTATGAGCTTCTGGGGAAAAGAGCTATGAAACTGTGTGGGGCGGGAGGGAGTGATTTTAGCTGGAGCTCAAAGACGAGGAACTAATCCCAGGATAAGGAAGAGGAAGACAGAACCCTCCAGACAGAGTAAAAGCATGCACACAAGGACAGAGATGTGCTTCGAAGTCTTGAGAGTTCAGGGGCTGAAGGGCATGCTCTAAGCGAAGCTAGAGAAGCTGAGGTGGGAGCTGGGGAGCCACTGCTTTTCCTTTTTTTCCCCTTCCCATGCATGACTATCACCCAGGACTGGAATCATGTTTTAGAAAGATGGCTTCATGGTGCCTGGGTGGCGAAGTCGGTGTAGTGTTGTCTGCCTTCAGCTCAGGTCAAGATTCCAAGGTTCTGGAAGCAAGTCCCACATCCGGGTTCTTTGCTCAGCAGGGAGCCTGCTTCTCCCTCTGCCTGCCACTCCCTCAGCTCATGCTCTCTCTCTTTGACAAATAAATAAAATCTTTTTTAAAAACAATAATAAAATTAATAAATAAATAATAGAAATATGGTTTCAAGAGCCCCTTTGGAGACATTTGGTGAAAGAAGCCAATTATGACGGAAGGCCTTATTTGCCTGCACTCACTATTATCCCACACAGCTCCAAAATCAAATTTAAATTCCAAAAAGAAAGGAGCTATTTCTCAGTATTCCTTTTTTTTTGGGGGGGGGGGTCCTAAATCAGCAAATGCTTGAATCTTATTTCTTTTTGCACATTCCTGATTCCCTCCAGATTTCAGTTATTTCTACCTACTTCTTGCAGTAGACTGATTTTGTTCTACTGAAGAAGAATCAATGTATACAAAAATGCCTTAAAATTTTAAATGTATGCATATATGTGATCTCAGTTTTTCATTTATCTTCTTAACCTAACACCTTACACCTTTTGGGGCACATCCCAGAAACCATAATAAATGCTTGCAAAATGAGAGGAAGCATGGTGTAGTGCAAAGAGCACGGAACTTATCATCAGACAAAAGCCAGGAATGTTGGGCAAGTTATTAAAGTTCTCTGAGTCCTCTGTTAAGTAAACATTTAAATAAACATTTATTTGTTAAATGGTGATATTGCCTTCTGTTCAAGTCCTGAGAATTAAAAGCCTCAAAGAGCTGAGATGCAGGTGTAAATAAATAGTGGTTTTCTTTGAATGAATGAATGAAAATGTCTTTCCTGGAGGGAATTGAGAGAACAGAAATTGGAAACTTCAAGGGAAAAGATGGGACCTTTGAGAGGGCTCTCAACTACACGTTGAAGGATTTAAATATAATACAATGAGGTTATAGAGGCATGGATTGATTGAAGTAGGTTTCAAAGGGGACTGTCCTGGAAGCAGGATGTAGAACAAGCCGTCTCATCAGAAAGGCTGAACCCAGCCTGGTGGGAGATGATAGGCTTAAGCCAGGGTGATGGTCTGCAAACAGTAAGGAGGGCCTACATAAGAGGCAGTGAGTCACACGGTATGGTCTTGGTAACCCAAATCACTGGCCACCCGAGGTCTTAAATTGTGAAATTACAGTCATAACTTTGCTCCAAAAGCAGTTTAGGATTTGCTCAAATACAAAAATTAACATCCAAATGAAATGCCTGGAAATTGAGGTGTGTAACAAAATATAGACTTGTAAGCCTTTCCACTTTGCGTGCAATCAATGTGGACCGAGTATATTTAAAAAAAAAAAAAAAAAACCTCAAAGTGATACTTCCTAATTTCAAATACCTTATAACAAAAGAAAGGCAATTTTAACATATCAGAAAGCATTGAGTTTTAAAAGTAGCACTAAAAATATCTCAAACCATTAAACCTCTGAATACTTCTCTAAGTCTAAAATGTTTAAGTTTGAACTTCTCAGAGATCACTACAGCCGGTAATATGTGGTATCTAGAAGACCTAGCCAGGTTCTCAGTCTCAATATCCTTCCTTCCTTTCTTTGCCCATAGCTAGGGTTGCTAGATTTCTCACAAGCAGGCTCAGTCTTGCCTCTAATCTTGAAACCCAATCTTGACCTTAGATAGAGGGCATTAACTCTTTGCATTTACTTCTTGTTCCGATGTCCTGAGCCAGATCTGATACCAGCTTCAATATGAGCATTGACAAAAAGCCAATTAATCCTGTTTTGAAGAGGGTTCAGAATTTACTAGAATACTAACTAGAGTAAAGGACAGCCAGTTCAGTCAACAACACAATCTAAGAGCAATCAGGGCAGTGGCTTCACCTTCTTCACTATTGTTCAAGGCAAGACAAGGACAAATTGTAGTTCGATATATATATATATATATATATAGACACACACACACACACACACACATACACACATACATTTTAAAGTCATTTCAAACAAGAATATCCATCCCACAGTTGTCAGAAATCATCCAGGTAGAAGCTGTATGATGACCAGGGCTCAGAAAATCACAGGGCTGATAGGGAGCTAAAGGTTTTTGGCCCGCTCTTCCTCCCAAAGCAGAATCTTTGTTCCCATGTCCACCACAGCTAAGCACCCAGCCCAGCCCGAACACCACCAGGAAGAGGGAAATGTTTCTTGCTGAGACAGCCTTTTATCAGCAACTCCAGATCTACCCCAAGTCCAGATACCTGCCTCCTGGCAACTTTCCCCCAGTGGTCCTGTTTCTGCCCTCTGGAGGCAGACAAAGTAATAACAGCGGCCTGCCACATGACTTCCTTTCCAAAGAACTGACCATCCTGGTCACATGTTCCCTGAAGACCCTTTCCCCGGATAAACATCTCCGATATGCTGAATCCTTATCTCATCACATGGCTTCCAGATCTCTCTCCTTCCTTGTCTTCTGCCACTTCTGGGGGCCTACTGATTCAACATCTCTGAAAGGTGGATATCCATAATCTATTCATGCTTTGGGCAGCATCAGAACCCAAGCCCAGAGTGGTACCCTTTCCAGCTTCAATTTGGACAAAACGCTGTGTCACTGCAAGTCCATATGGTGCTGATTTCCTTAGCTGCCTCCCCATCTTACTAAATCATGTTTCCTCTTCCAGAAAAAATGGTTAGTCTGTGTGTATTAGGAATGCAATTGATTTCATCTTACTTGATT